TATCGAGGCTTGCTTCATTTGGGGGAGGAGCCAAAAATAATGACGTCCGAAGCCTCGCTGCCCAGCTGTACCATGTGATCGCGTTGGGAAGTGGTTCAGATTTTGCTGCGAGCTACTGCAGCTATATAGACCCTCAGGCTCCATTCAAAATGTGGTTGTTTGTAGGAGAGCTGCGGTCAGTTGACAGTTTGGATACTAGAGTTTGGAGTGTCTGGATACTAGAGTTTGGATAGAGTTTATATCTCCAAGGCCGAAGAGCTTGTGTCAAAAAAAAAAAAAAAGAAATCATTCAGAACGAAAAACTACTGAGAAACTCTTGTTTCTGAATAAAAATAAATACAATTTCCCCTGTCCTATACATCATCGTGCAAGTCACACAAGCTTAATCTGTGCCCTTATCCTAGTTCCACAAGCACTTTCACTGTCCTCTGCCTGATTATGCCCCTGCCATGTTCAGAAAAAACTGTTTCACCTGCCATATTATGATATTACCATTTTGGGAAAATTTACACACACAGAATACAAAATGTATTATACACATATGTGATCATTTTCGTGGTTTCGTGTGCACATGAAGCTTCGAGAATTGAACCCTCTCTCGAACCAACTGGCTCAAGTGGTTCAATGCCTCACAAGGCTTCATCTCACCATCACTACAGGACTGCTTTAAAGTATTTAATAACAAATCCAAAAAAATCCACAAATCCAAAAAAATCCAAAAATAGAAACTAAACAGCCATAAAAGAACAAGACACTGACAAAGACACAGACAATGGCAAATGCACTGGACCAACAAAGGGCACAGAAGAACACAGGGTATAAAAGCACACAAACACAGGTGAAACACATCAGGGCGGGGCAATAAATCAACAGACAGGAAGTAAAACTCAAACTACAAGCAGACAGGATTAATATCAAAATAAAACACTAAGGGCACACAATACTAAAGGAAAAGATCCACCAAAATAAGCAAAAAACAACTACAAAACATGAACCATGACACCTTGATTACAAAAAAATAGATAAATAAAAAATACAACACTGCAGCCGGAATGAGGCGGAATAGCGACATCTGTCGGTTACATATTTTACTGAGCCACCAATCATCTGCTGTGCTACGCGACCAACAGTATTATTTTTTTATTAGGAGAGAAGCAAATTATCTGGATAGCTAGATACAAGGGTGTAGGTTTGGCCTATGCTAACAGTGCACGAGTAGTGCTCCGTTTCCGAGGTGCACTTGTGGTGATAGTCGCTCTTTTTCCACACCGACTCATTATAAGGCATCATCTTCATCTTCATTATTAACTGAAGATGAAGCCAAGTAAGTTATTTTTGAAAAGTTTTTCAAAGTTTGGTGCGCAGCGTCTTCACTCGCGCCTGCTCAAGTCGCCATCTTCGGGTGTTGGCCCTGTCCTGCCGCTTCCCCAGTTTAGGTTCCTGGCTCCACTAATGACATCACTCTGTTGCAGCCAATGAAATAGCGGCAGGTGTAACCCTGTCGTCATATCACTGAATACATCTCAGAACGTCTACTAAACGAAATGTGAACTCAAACGTGTTAAATTAATACTTTTCTCTTTACAGCTGATAAATGTGGTGCTGAATTTTACAGGAACAAACTGGAACATGTCCCTCCCACTTCTGTTTGTTACTGAAGTACTGTGATGTGGTATCCTCAAATGTACTACACTAATATACAGCACAGTACAGTAGTGATCCTTCCATTTCAGTGCAAACTATTTGACAAAATAACTGTTGTTAAGCACTCTTAAATCTTAATTCTTACTATTCTGACTGTAATAATTCACAATCTTGTCAAAAAAAAAAAAGGAAAGGTAAATTTTTCATTTCTAAAACACTTGACTTGGACTTATGGGTCTGTGACTTAAGACTTGACTTGGACTTGCCTGTATTTGATTTGGGACTTGACTTGGACTTGAGGTCAAAGACTGGAGACTTACTTGAGACTTGCAAAACAACAACTTGGTCCCACCTCTGCCAGTAACAGTAGATTCAGTAGTAATTGTAGTAGTGCTAACACTGGCCAGTAGAATTCATATTTTTTTAACCAATTGAGTACTGTAACAGAGTAGTATTACAACTCCCAGTAAGCACATAACCGTCCAGTGGTTTGGGGGTAATCGTGGAAGTGATGTCATTGTGGTGGGCGTGTCCCGGGGGTCAAAACAGGAAGTGATGTCGCTGCGGCGCGGTGAGTCATGACCTCGTGGTTCCAGATGCTTGTTCCAGATGTGTCCCACCTCTGGACCACAGTTTCTGCTTTTCCACTTCTGGTTTGGACTCTCTCATTTCAGCGAATATAATGGTCCCCTCTATGCACGAGCTTGGTATGTTCTACGGTTTTGGAGTGTGTACTTTATATGCCAGTGCCCGGGAGTAAAGTTGTGGCATTTTCAACCAATAAATGCATATTACATAATGTTAGCCAATTCTAAATACAAATGACGCGCGTAAGATGGGAAGTATTAGTAATTCATATATTTTTACGCACTACTGACAATAAAGGAGCTGTTGTTAGTCGGTCTAGAAATAGGTGTGGATATACTAAAACTTTGTATAGATCTTGTGCCACTTGATTCTTGCAAGATAAAATTGCGTGAGATTGTGCAGGTGAGTAGAATGTTTTGTTTTGTGGTTTTTTTTTACTTCTGAGTGACTAATGAGTTCCACCTCTTGAGAAGCCGGAGTTCAGAAAGCGATTCTACAAAGACAGCGAACATCTAAAATAGACTGTCTAGTGAGGAATGTGTTTTGTCACATCTCAAAACTTTTTTAAGGCCTAGATATAATCAGCTTAGGTTTTTCAATTTAATCACAATATGCACTGCTTTTATGCTTTATATGAGTTCCTGCTACACTCTGGTTGGCTAAGTCCACCTGTCACTCACAAAGCAGGAAAGAGGCTGAAGAATAGGACAAGTGCTAGTTCAAATAAAGTAACCTTGGAAATGTCAGAAGCACTGATTCACAATATAAAATACACACCAAAAATGAATGCTTAAGTAAATTCAAATGAACTAGCTTTGAGATTTCACTTGACATGTAAAATTATGTACCAATGAAATATGTATTTTTTTTTTATTCAAACAATTGAATTAGTTTCTTATTTTAAGTACCTGCGATGTATACTCAGGTGCGACATATATATTAAAATATATAATCTCACATGTTCGGGGTTTTTTTTGTGTTTTTTTTTCTTCACTGACAGCTGCGAGAGGCTGTAGTCTTGTGTGTGAGTATCTGCTGCTCCTGTTCCTCCTGTACCACTGTCACTTCACTCTACTGCACATGTCTCCTGCAGAAAGAGCCTCTGTCCTGTCTGTATCATGTCAGTGTCTTGTGGATTTCAGCAGATTTCATCTTTAATGGTAATTTAGCATCATAACTGATTTTATCACACGGCAATAAAATGTTAACCATATTCTGCAGATTACAAGCTTCAAGTCGTGAAATCTGCAGCCGAAAACGGTAATCGAGCAGCAGAAAGAAAGTTTGGAGTGAGAAACTTGTGAGGGAAAAGTGGAGGAAACTTGAACTGCAATGAAGAAAACAAAAGAGCTAATCAAGGGTTAAAAGCTAGATTTAGCTAGAGTTGGTGGAGTTGCACAGAAGTGACACAGAGGATGAAGAATTGAATGGATTTAGTGATTTGGAGTGAGATGGAAAGTTTGTTAAACTTATTCTGTTCTGTTGTTTATGTTATAGTTATCTGAAGAACTGTTCATATGTGACGTTAACAGACCAGACTTAGACTGCTTAGACGGATAAAGCGGAAGAAAATGGATGGATGGAAAATACCAGACACATGTTCAGCCTGTTCTATTGTTATTCCTATAACTTCACTTTCAACATAAAATGTCAGTTCCTGGTCTCAGATTTTATAAAATAAATTTCTCCCCCAAAAGTGCGACTTATAGTCCAGTGTGACTTATATATTTTTTTTTTTTTTTCTTCATTATCCATATTTTGGCTGGTGCGCTTTATACTCCGGAGTGACTTATAGTCTGGAAAATACAGTACAAAGAGTTATCTTTAGTATAACTATGTGTGTTTTCCTATTGCAAAAATACATGTTCCATTGGTAGATCATTTTACTTGTCATGTAAAATTTGCAAAAATCAATGTAACATGTTCTTAATTCAAGAAATTGTAACTTGGCAAGATTGTAGTTTGTATAGTGTAGTGTAGATGGAGATTACATGGAGATTATTCCTATACTTGTGATATTACATAGTATGGCATTAGATTTATCTAGGTATTTCCATCAAGGTATCCATCACTAATAAAAAATATTACATTTGAATACATGTAAGATAGATAAGAGTAGGGCTGGGTATCATTATGAAGCTGCCGATACATAGGCCACGAAACGATACATATATCGATACAGTGCTTTTTCGGTTCGATACGATATATTTATATATATTTCAAATCAATTTGATACGGTTCAATAAAAAAATAATGGCTAAATCATGGCTGTGACACTAAAAGTCTTTGTTAAACCACTTTTTGTGCAAAGTTAATATGAAACACAAACATTTTAATCCTGAATACAGTGAAAATGTCAAATGTGTTGCATAAATGAGTTTCCTTCCTTTAAACAAGCAACAAAACTGTTGCTGTAACAAAATAATTTAGTAAAATATACCAAAAAATAGACTTGGCGATATATCAATACAGCAGCCCACGATATCGATACTGTATCATTACTTTAAATGATACGATATATTGATATTTTGATATTTTTGCACATCCCTAGATAAGAGTAATGCCAAGCTGTGGAACATCCCTGGCAATGCATTCAATTTCCATGGATTAACAATAATAATTTTGGTGCCCCCCCATCTGCATTAAATATTATTGGCCTATTATAGACTATTGTGCTGCCATCTGAAACCCAGCAGTCAGACTGTGAGACAATCTAGACCAGACAAAAGCTTATCACAGCTCAACACATGAATGTCTGCTGGACTCACGGTGCAGGCTGAGGGAGATGTTGATGACCCTCTCCTCGGTGAAGCTCTTCAGGTTGGGGATCTTGGCACACTTGAGGAGGGTGGAAGCGGGCGACTCTCCCACATGGATCCAGCAGACGGTCTCCTGCGAGTACAGGAAGTCCATGGCTGTGGTCTGCTTGGTGCTGGTGGAGAGGAGGCTGTGGACCGTGGTGCCGCTGAGGGACGTGGCCTGGATGTTCTGGGAGTTTGCGATGAGGAGCACGGGGAGCCGGTCCACGGGGACTGGAAGCAAGGAGAAGAGGAAGGTCAGCGTTTTGTCCCCTTAGAATTATAAGCTTCTGTCTGCGTTCTGGGTAGATCTGAGACTTTGAGGTTTAAAGTTCTGAACACTCATATTGATACTTGATGCTAACTGGAGGCACTGCTCTGTCTGAAGCTCTGTTACTCAAGTTAGACTTAAACTGACCTTTATTTTAACACAATCTGACTGATTGATTTAGTTGAAAATAATGTGTGCATATATTTTTTTTTCAGTGCAATAAAAATTTCCAAAGTAAAATCATGTCAAATTTGGCTAAAAAACTATACAGAGTGAATGCCTCCCCTATTTATACATGTAATATATTAGATTACCGTATTTTTCGGACTACAAGATGCACTTAAAATCCTTTAATTTTCTCAAAAATCAACAGTACGCCTTATAATCCGGTGCGTTTTATGTATTAATTCTGGTTGTGTTTACTGATCTCGAACTGATTTTATGTGGTACACTGCGCTCAAAAATCTGTCAAAATGTTTTAGTATGACTTTGGTAAGAGTTTTAAGTCTTGTCTTTTACTCTCTGGCTTTTAACACCGCGTGAGTTGTGTGGTCCTCTGTGTCTTTTATTTATTTTTATTGTATTTTATTGGATTATTTATTTATTGGTATTCTATGATTTTGCTCTTATTTTATTTGACTGGTTTGATTAATTTAAGACTAGTATGATTAAATCTGAGCATTTATTTCATCTTTTTATTATTGTTGTTATTAGTATGAATTTGTGCAGCACTTTGGAAACTGTTTGTTTGTCAAATGTGCTATAGAAATAAAGTGGATTGGATTGGACTACGAATCCCCACCGCATGATGGATTGTCAGAGCATTACGCCCACCGTAGTCAGGAGCCTCACCAAGTTAGTTCAACAGAAGCTGACAGAATCGGCTGACAAGCAAGCTGTATTTTCAGCACTTATAGTTTATGCAAATGAGCCATGTGGCTAAGTTTCGTTTTTGTAAAATGTGAACAAATGTGCGCAAAGGTGCATTAAACACATTAGAATTACGGGTGAATTACACCACGATCTGCCAAAGGACGCCTGAGCTAAGTCTCCGTCTCAAGTGTTGTCCATTTGTTTCGCTTAATGTGCCTTATAATCTGGTGTGCATTATGTATGAAAATAAACAAAAGAATTCAACATTATTAATATTGCGCTTTATAATCTATCTCTATCTAATCTATATATATAAATAAATAATAAGTATGTGCCTTATAGTCCAGAAAATACAATAGGTAGACTAGGGTTCTATGTGACTATCCTGCATAGAGTACTGCGGAGTGTGTTTACCATTCTTGGCCTTGCATGACCTGTTGTCTGGCTGGGACAAGTAGCCCTCCACACAGGAGCAGCTGTAGCCCCCCTCGGTGTTAGTACAGGTCTGACTGCACGTCCCATACACGGTGCACTCATCAAAATCTGAAACACACACAGAGACGGTCCCAGATGAGCATAAAGGGAGCCAGAGCCAATAGAGCTGCAGATGGAGAGACATGTTGATCATCCAAGTCTGTTTTACAAGCTGTGCCACGCGGCCACGATGAAAACATTTAATATTGGAGTCACACATGAAAACGCAAACAACTACGCCAAACAGACATGTGCTGAATGATGATTGCTGTTTACTGGGCTGGAATTAGAAGATCCATGCACATATGGTGTCAAATCATACGATACAGATTCCACTGTAAGAGCAAGAAGAAAAGTCTGGATTCTTTTAACGTTCACATTTGTTAAGTATACAAAATTTTTATGTATCCAAGTGATAATTTGCTAGTTTAGGGTTGTCTGCAATTTGCTGTTGTTTGTTCAAAATCCATTGCTCTTTTCCAGCCCTGAATTTTGTCAGACAAATTAAATTTTTGAAATAGACAAAATCTTAAATATGAAGTGCGAAGTGTGTTGCCCAACACAACAAGGTTATACAGTGGTACATGTGGGATTTGAACCAACAGGTTGCTGGATATTTTAATAAAAACATCAAATTTTGATAGGTTTTACCAAAAAATCTGTTTAGGAATATAAAAAGTACTGGGTCCAATATTGAGCCTTGTGGAACACCAAGGGATAAAACTTTTAACAGAGACAAAACCCAAAATTAAACCTGGACAAGACCAACACTAAACCAATACTTGGACCAAACTAATTATACTTCAGGACATAACTGGGATTTAACTGTAAACACAGCCTTACGTTTAATAAAAAATGCATACTTGTTCACCTCAAAGTACAACCCCACTGACTAAAGCCCGAATCGCTTTTAATTTAAAAGAGAAGTCTGAATTTGATGTCGATGACTCACCTTTGCATGTTTTTCCGTCCTGGTTGATCTCATATCCGCTCTTACAGTAACACGCTGGTCCATCTGGAGTGACGGCACAGTGCTCCTGACAGCCCCAGATACTGCAGTTTGAAATCAACTCTGCAAAAACACACAAAAGTACAAGTACTTAAACACCTTGTGCCTACATTTTTCCATGTAGTTTTCCCTGCAGTATATTATAAAAGGAGTAATTTGTGAAACAGCTTGGCGTCTACTATGAACCATTTATATTGACCACAAGTGTAGTTTAATTTAAAAGTTTGAAAAATGTGGTCACTGGTCTCTATTTAATCGTTTTTGTCGGTCCACAATAAAAAGTAGATTTCATTTGGTTCCAGTATCGGTATATTAATATTCAATACCAATATTTTTTGTTGCTACTCCATACTATGTGTGCCGTGTGTCTTTCCCAGATTGTTTTTTTTAAAACAGATTCATGATTAAAATGGAAATAAGAGATCATTATACAGCTGTATGTTCGTTACTATTATTACAAAAGTGAGAAGTACATTTATGATCTTTACTTGAACTAAAGATACATTTGTGGGTTTTGCTATGAATTTTAAAAACTAAATATCAAATATTGGTATCAGCTCAAAAAAATGTAATAAAATCTTTTTAAAAATATATATTTTTTAATCCATATTTTCCCATCCCTAGTGAAAAGGGGCCTCTTTTTCATCAGACTGTCAAAGGTGAGGAACATTGTGACATTGTGCACCGCAAAAGTTGTGTTTGGACTGATTCATGTGTGTGAGTAATCCTGTACTGTCCTGAATTTGCTGTCACTCCACTGCTCTGTACTTTCCAAAAGATCAGACTCCAGGTCATACACGTACAAGATTTTAAAAATGCCACACAACCATTTTGAAAACATAAAAATCCGCTGCTTGCTACATTCTGCCCTTTTGAACAGTGAATGGACCTTTTCTCAAGTCATTTTAGAGCAACGTTGTGGTTTTCGATGAACAAAATGTGAAATAATGATCTGTGTGTAATAGGGTTGGGCAGTATCCAAATTTTGATGCTGTTAAACCTTCTCAGGATTTTACCAGGGTATACGGTATTACTGTATAATCAAAATGTTTTAGTACGACTTTGGTAAACTACAAAGCTGCTCCGCTATACTGCTCTATGGTCTATGTGTATGACCTGCAGACTTATAATCTCTGAAAAGTTTCACATGAACCATCTCCAACACGATACACGCACAGGACAGACTCACCATCAGCAGCACATCCTCTGTCACAAAAAGAACACTCATATTCCACTGAGTTGTGTCCTTTAGTCTGTCAGAAGCTGAACCGTAACAGCGCACAAAGAGTGAGCTGTTTATATCAGTGCTTTATGGTTTATGCAAATGAATCATGTGCTTTTAAATTTCATTTCTGTAAAACATAAATAAATGTATTCTGAAGCAAATATGCTGCCAAATTGCCAAAGTACGAGTATTTTTTTTTGGGGGGGGGGCTAACTTGCTTGTGGCCGGACTTGCCATCTTGTCTTGGTCTCTCTTATGAGCGTCATGTTACAACAGAACAAAACTAATCGTATGTCATCTCCCCACACAGTTAAAAGAAACATTTTAGATATTATTAGTTTTAAATCATGATAGCATTAAATTGAAAATACAGCCACACAACCACATGCTGAGCAAACAAATGTAGGTATCAATAAATTATAATATTATAGTAGGTCCTTATTCGTTGCAGATTTGTATGATTTTTTTATGACGGTAATAAAACTGATACCTTTGCTACTTTCTGATACAGCGCGATCAGGACCGTAATACTGTATTACCACCCGAACCTAGTGTGTATTACAGTTTAATACTAAATCCCTGAAAAAGCTAAATGTCTTCTTTAAGGTATAATTGATACTTTTACTTTAAGTATTGGTACCAAGACCCCTTTAAAAATCTGCATCCTTTGAGAGACCTACTGAAACTGGCATTGTCACCAGAAATGACAGATGAAAACTTTGGAGAAATAGCATTTAGATGATATTATGAACATTATTTTGTAGTTGTATATAATGCTTAAACATGAATAGATACTGAAAAACAATTTCAGTTATATTCCTTATGCTGAAAAGAAAGCCCCAGCTCTACTTTCCATGAAGGACTTTTCTTGTTTTTGAGGTTTCGAGTGCTTCAGGTGGATTCGGGGTTAATTACGTAACTCAACAGTGAACAGATGAGAGCGTGATTGATTTGGTTTATTATTGCTTTGGCTCAGAGCAGCTCAAGTGAATAAAAGCATGTGTCTTTAATGGGAAGTGCTCAGAAGGAGGCTCAGGATGTGGATAGTGAAGTGTGCAGTGGTTTATGGGAAATGCAGAAATGTGTCTAGATATGTATGTATGTTGATAGGTCTGTGTTATGTACAGTCAATGTCATCTTGTATCACTTTATACCACAGGGCTCAGAAAAGTATTTTGGATTCTAAAATCAAACTGCATGCAACAGCAGTATGACTGAATGTATTATTTGGTTGAAGCAGCATACAAAAAAAAAACAAAAAAAAACAGGTAACTACATAGACCATGATCCTTTGCTGCATTTCAGTGCAGTTCAGTTCATCAGTAGATTACAGAAGAAATACTGCACTATGCATTTTGGATTTTGGAAATACAAAATTCGGCAGCAGTAACATAGAAACAAACACAGGAACATAGAAAAGACATATAAAGTTATCAATCCATCCTTTTGCGTTCATCAGCTCTAGCAATTTGTTGTACAGACGTATGGTGTGTGGGACAAACTACTTCCAGAGAGTGTCCGTGGTGCAGAACAGGGACAACTGCCTGTCCCCAAAGCAGAGTCCTGCACCAGGTCGGGTAACAGAAATAATAAAGAATTGTTGCTGAAATGGGCGGGTTTTAAAGTTCTAGAATTTTATGAACGGATATGCAGACGGGTAGTGATTACACACGGACAGGTTAGGTGAATCAAATGAACCAGAAAAATACTTGACACCCATCCTGGACGTCCATTGCCCTGGAAACAAGTGCCATTTCCCTGTCTTTTCCCAGAATGACAGCAGAGCAGGCTGAGAAACTTTAGTATTTTTATTACATAAACACATCAGTGGAGGTGATTGGTTCGATGGCTGAGCTCTTGGTTTAGTCCTGGTTTAGTCCTGGTCCAGTCCTGGTGCAGTCCTGGCGAACAGCTAGGCGGATATGGTGTGTATATATTTATAATCCACTAATGACACGGAGTAGGTTCAGTCCTGGTTCAGTCTTAGTTTAGTCCTGGTTGAGTCCTGGACTATTGGGCTGTTGGACTTATGGACTGTCCCTGATTTATCACAGGCAAGGAGGGGGTACAGGTGGAATGTTAATGGGTCTGGGCAGGTGCAGATTTAACTTTGATATAATCACAGGTTAATGGGCGGGTGTGGTGCTGTACTGAGCAGGTGTGGGTGGGTGCGGGTCTTCAAAAATGGATCCGTGCAGGACTCTGCCCCAAAGGTGCTCTGCAGACTGCTTGGGGGTTCTGTGTAGACTGCTCGGGGTTCTCTAGAATAGACAAGAGCTTGTTCAGGGCTCTCTTCTCAGCCACTGATATGAGTGAGTCAAGCTCTGAGGCTTTAGTCCTTCTTCATGAGGCTTTAGTCCTTCTTCATGAGGCTTTAGTCCTTCTTCTTGAGGCTTTTGTCCTTCTTTCATCATCTGTTACTGTCAACCACTCTCTCACCACGCCATCATCTTGCCATTTAAGCAACAACCACCAGCCTTTCCATCTAGCCCTCTTCACCACCAGCAGTTTTTTTTTTGACACAACTAAAACTTTTTTCAATACAGACTCAACTCAAGTAGTCATTTATGCCTCATATATTCCAATCATAATAGCCCTTAATAGTGTATTATGTGGGATGAGGTGAGGTCAACCATTTAATAGAACAGACTGAAGATGTGACATAATACGTGGATTTGAATGCAGCCTTTTATTACATTGTAAAACTGTAATTTAGTCATTACAATGAAAGGAGTTGGAGATCAGAATTGGATTGCTCTTAGAAAATGAACAGCCTTTTCAAAGCCTTGAGAGCACACTCTTCTCATTGGGTTTTTTAAATACTTTTGTTTATTTCTGGTTCTAAAAAGTCATCCAAAAGACCAGATCAAAGCATATTTTAAACTAGGGTATATTCACATGCAAATTTGTGTCATAGTTTGTCCAACCACAAAGTGACAAATAACTGTCATTGTGCGATCAGACATAATGATACACGTAAATATAATTAAAAAGTATTGGTCCAAGCACTGAGCCCTGTGGTAATCTTTAGTTAAGAACAGCAAAAACACTCGATTTCTGCTATTTGTATCAGTTTATCTCACAATCACAAGGGCATTTAAATACTGATACTTTGCAGCTGATGTCATCAACATTCCATTTCGTTTTATTTATTTATTTTTTTTAGTTAGGCTACATCCACATGACAACGCTCCTGGATTTTTTCTTTTTTTTTTTTTTCTTTTGCGGGTTGAAAAAATTTGTGTCCACACACGTGTCAGATTAAGAAATATTCAAATCAGTCCACACAACAATGGAGAGTGAAAACGATACAATACATATGCCACACCAATATGCAGTGCTGTAAACAGGATACAGCCAGAGCCACTGGACACACAATACTACAAAGAGTGCATGTGCATTAAGTCATTTCTGCGTGGGGTTCTCTTCTAGTCACGTGGCGATGATGGGGTTGCAACATCATTGTTTCTCAAAAGCTGCAGTTTGCTTGTCCACACGACAACGCAACGCCACCATTCTCAGATTACTCCACTCTGGAACCCGTTTTGAAAAAGCACAGTTTTCGGCCATCCGAAACTCTGGCTCCGTGTGGATGAAACGCCAAAACGAATAAAAACTTCACAATTTCGACCAAAAAACGTCTCTCATCCAAATGTGTTGTTTAAATCACTTTTGTATTTTGAGTTTTCGAAGCATCTTAAGCTTTTGTGGCAGTGTGTAATGTCTGTGTTTTGTCACCATGGTAACTGCTGAGCATTCCACCATAGACATACATGCAGAACACTTCCAAGATGATGTCACTGCAAAGTATAAATAAGATGAGTTTTATAATAGCAGT